CAGCGTGATGTACTTAGTGTACAGTGTGGTGTACTTAGTGTACAGCGTGATGTACAGCGTGATGTACTTAGTGCACAGTGTGATGTACTTAGTGTACAGCGTGATGTACTTAGTGTACAGCATGGTGTACAGTGTGATGTACTTAATGTACAGCGTGATGTACTTAGTGTACAGCGTGATGTACTTAGTGTACAGCGTGGTGAACAGTGATGTACTTAGTGTACAGCGTGGTGTACTTAGTGCACAGCGTGGTGTACAGTGTGATGTACTTAGTGCACAGCGTGGTGTACTTAGTGCACAGCGTGGTGTACTTAGTGTAAATTAAAATATTGCTCAAGATGTGCTAGTCATGATTGTCTGTGACCAATCAGAGGCCTGCAGTGTTTTAACTACAACTTCTAGTATCGGCTCAGCTCGGTCAGAACCTCGACCACAGTGGTATCAAAGTAAAGTTACAGGTACTGTCCCCAACTTCTGCTCATGGAAAACTTTAAAAAGAGAGTGAGTCCGGTCATACCATGCAGAGGAAATGTCCCTCCTGTCCTATGGTGTCCCACAGGGATCAATCCTAGGTCTCCTTCTGTTCTTTACAATATGCTGTGCGTGGGTATTTCTATTGTCTCTGTATGAGTCTAAATTGTGTAGCATTTTGTGACATCTGCTCTAGAAAAGATATCGATACAAATGAAACCAAATGATACAGAACATGTACCATGACATGACATTAAAGCAACCATTGGCCACAAGAGGGCACAAAAATAAAATAATGAATATTTAGTCAAACTAATTGTTATGCTTCAGTTAAAATAACTTGTAATTTGATTTTTCAAAGGTTACTTATTTATTACGCATAGTGGCCCTTCCTGACCTGCAGGTGGTGCTGTGGAACCACGACGGGGCCGCACCGGGTGACGTCTGCACAGGCGTCCTGGCAGTAGCGATGCGGGTCATCTCTCTTCCTCAGGTACTGGTTGGTGGAACATTGTCTGAGACGACAGAGACCACAACACTGACTTTAATGAACTCTTCAGCGTAGTTAGAGGATAAATACACCGTCTCATCATTAGAGGCCTTGCACCTTAAATATCAGAGCAACTACAGGATTCTAAATGGTTCTTAACATCCACTTCTCCACAAAGTTTAAATATTAACATCTGAGTGTCCAGGTTTGTATTCTTATTGTAAATCTTTCTTCGTAGAGTGATTAAATAATGTATTAGCATGTAAATTAAGGATTGAATGGAGTTTGTCTGAGGTACACAAATACACAACAACACTACAAAAGAAACACACCTCAGCCTATCTAAAATACTCTCACAGAGTACATTTTATATTTAGAGTCATGTGAGACGGGTCATCTGTAGTTCAGAGGGTGAGACGGGTCGTATGTAGTTCAGAGGGTGAGACGGGTGGTCTGTAGTTCAGAGGGTGAGACGGGTGGTCTGTAGTTCAGAGGGTGAGACGGGTCGTATGTAGTTCAGAGGGTGAGACTGGTCGTATGTAGTTCAGAGGGTGAGACTGGTGGTCTGTAGTTCAGAGGGTGAGACGGGTGGTCTGTAGTTCAGAAGGTGAGACGGGTGGTCTGTAGTTCAGAGGGTGAGACGGGTGGTCTGTAGTTCAGAAGGTGAGACTGGTCGTATGTAGTTCAGAGGGTGAGACGGGTGGTCTGTAGTTCAGAGGGTGAGACTGGTGGATGGTTCACAGACCTGCTGAGCAGCACAGGACCGACTCTACGCCGCACACTGAAGGCTCTCTGCAGGTAGTCGATGGCCTGAGGAAACAGCTTCTCCTGAGGAGGAAACACACTGTTTGGGTCTGACGCAGTGATGTCACGATGTACTGATGTACATCGTGACTAGAGCAGAGAGAGGGAGTCAACATACGATGGACCTGAAATACAAACAAGTTGGCTCTCAAAATCTAATTTACTCATTACTAAAACATGTTTTAACTGGTCCATTCAGAGATTTTGGTCCATTTTCTTAATTTCATTCTCTATTTGCGTCTTTAGATTTCTTCTTAATTCACCATTAGATAATACCTAATTTGCATATTTAAACATAACATTTCAGAAGACTTGAAACACTAAAAGGTGTCTTGATATCTATTAGTTGCATCATTAAACTGTTTAAGTTGAACTCACGTGTCTCCATACAGATTCCAGCTGTGAAGTCCTCCGTACAGTTTAGATGAGTCTCTAGTTTATTAATATTACCCAGAATGCTGCTCTTCTCATATTTAAAACACCACATTGTTTACAGTCATGTCCACTAGCTGGCAGTGTTTGCTGACTGACTTCCTGAACTCACCTTCACCAGCCTCCTCTTGTCTGCAGCAAGCCTGTAAAGAGAGAACAGATGAGCCTCAGCACGGCTCAGAGACAAGCGTGAGGTTCTGCGGTACTGACCGGTCCACGCTGTGGTCGTAGATGATCTTGATCTTCAGCTGGAGGTCTTCAGGTGAGCTCCTCTTCGTCAGCCGCTCAGGCTTCAGGTACACGTGATGGACCTGACAGAGAGCAGCGGTTTACAGGTGTGTAGACGAAATAATAGAAACAGCTGTCAGGTAAATACTAGCTACTCAACAGATACAAAGGTACAGTTATTCCTCTCTCACTTATATCTGGTCTATCAAATGATATCTTATGCTATACATGTCTTCACCAACAATATATGTTTTAAAAACAGTCATTTAAAAATATATATATATATATATAAAAAATTAACTTTTAGCTTGTGTTTCCCTATCAACAACAAAAAAAAGAACACTTCCGCTTAGGTCTCTTTCAAAATAAAAGCGCCATCTTTATATAATCTCATTTAGCTAGGTGGCTAGCTTGACATGTAGCACAAAAACAAATAGGTTCTCTTAACTTTGGCTAGTTAGTGTAGCATCAACATTCGGGTTCTCACCTCCTCGGCTCGGTGTTTGCACGTGCCGTGACAGCTCACGAGCACAGCCAGGACGGAGAGGACGAGGACACGACCGAGGAACCAGGACCCGCTGAGCCTCCTCGGCTCCTCCATCCTCCTCGGAGGCTCGAAGTCAACAGAACCTCCGCCGGTCCGGTCCACTCGCTGCTGGTTTCATTCATCGCTCATCAGGCTGAATCAGAACATCATCAGAACATCAGCGCAATCCCGCCAAAAAAAACCCAAAACAGCCAACGGTTAAATTTGAGGAGAAGAAGACGCCGGCCGGTTAAACGGTGGAATGCTTCTTCTTCTTCTTCTTCTTCTTCTTCTTCTTCTTTGGCGGTTGGCAAACACTGAATTAGTGCATTACCGCCACCAACTGGTCTGGAGTGTGGATGAGGACGTCTAAAATAAAATAAAATAAAATAAAGTAAAGTAAAATAAAATAGTCTAAGATTTTGAAATAATACTTGATAACATTCACTTCTTGAGTTTGTTTTTATTTGTTTTATTCAACATTTCAACTAATATGCCATAAACAATATAGAAAGAAATAAAAGCATAAAAATAGCAAAATCACAGGTAATACATGACATCACAGGTAATGCATGACATCACTAGTTTTATGGCCTTTTTGTTGGTTCAGCATTTAAGAGTTTTTTAAAAATACATTTCAAACTCTTTGTAAAAACACACGCTTGTAAACTTACTATATGAAAATAAAGAATCAATACATTCATGATATACGCCCATCACTCAAATCTTCTGTTGTAGCTAAAGAATCCAAATATAACATGTTCATAGAACAGTTATCAGGTGATTGGTGAGTGAGAATAAACATAGAACAATAGTAAAAAAGATAATTAAAAATATGAACATTTACAGTAAAATATGATAAATAAACAAACAAATAAAGAGATTGTTATTAGAGTGACACGTGTGTATTATATTATAAGAGTAGAGTTGGTTAAAGGTGTGTAGCTGTTATGGATTATTGTATACTATGAAAAGCATAATAAATAATTTAAACCTAATTAATTATTGGCTTAATATAGTAGAATGATAACTAAGTTTGTACTTAAGTCAGAATTCAAGGTTCTTGTACTTTACTTGAGTACTTTCTAATTCTCCTCCTCTACATCTCAGAGGTAAATACTTTGTGCAGAAACTTCAGATATAAATAGTAAAACACTGACACAGAACATTTTACTGATTTATATACTTTATATATATCTATACAGTATATATACTGTATAGATATATATATACGTATAACTCCAGTCAGGTTCTGAATGCAGAACCTTTCACAGTATTTGTACCTTGACTGCAGTAAACAGCTGAATACTTCCTCCTCTGGTTCCCACAGAACTGCACTGAGAGACCAGATGATGAGATTGGTTGATGAAAGGTTTCTCTGTCTGTCTGATCATCTTCATCCTTTGATCTTAAACTTTACTCTGAAGTTTAAATTGAGTTTGTGAACATCCTGTTTATCCTCAGTGAGAGAAGTTAAAGTCACACTGATGAAGAGTTCTACGTTTAATGACCAGGAGACAAACCTCAGGTGAATCCAAAGCTTCATGTGTTAAAGCTGCATTCTCTCTAGTGTCCACCAGGGGGCGACTCCTCTGGTTGTATAGAAGTCTATGAGAAAATGACTCTACTTCTCTCTTGATTTATTACCTCAGTAAACATTGTAAACATGAGTTTATGGTCTCAATCTCTAGTTTCAAGTCTTCTTCAATACAGCATGATGTTCATTTAGTACATTATGGTCCATTTAGAGTCACACAGACCATAAAGCAGGGGATGCTTTAGGGCGGGGCTACACAGTGATTGACAGGTCTCTACCAGAGTCTCTACGTCACTCCTCCTCAGTCCACATATGGTCACTTCCTGTTCACTGGATGCAAATAAAACAAGATTGCGACGACCAAAACGACGAATTTGAGTCTTCAAAACAACAAACCAACGAGAGACGTCACGACGACTACGTGCGCGTGTGTGAGTGTGTGTGTGTGTGTGAGTGTGTGTGTGAGTGTGTGTGTGTGTGAGTGTGTGTGTGTGTGTGTGTGTCACAGTGAGTCTTTAAAGCTGTGTGAGCAGATTCTTCTTCGTTGGTATATTCAGCTCTCAGCAGCTGGACATACTAACGAGGCGTTCCTCTCTGTTGTGGTTCTCTGGACTTATTCAAATAAGTTTGAATCCCAAACCCCAAAAACATCACCTTAGAGTTTTGGTTGTTTTCAACTTCTCTTTCATTGTTTTTAGTTTCTGACGTTGTAAAATTCATGTTTTTATGATTGTTGAGGACAAACATGTAAAAAGCCACGATGGATGCTGAGGGATTGTTGTAAATCGTTAAGTTTCCCCCGTTTCATACGTTAAAATAATTATTTGACACTTCTTCGCTTTATATATATATATTTACTCGCATGTTTGTACAGAAAGATATGAAGCAGGAGGAGATGGTTAGCCTAGCTTAGCATAAAGACTGGAAACAGAGGGAAACAGCTAGCCATAGCTTCACTGTCAAATGATTTATTTAAATCTGCCACTAAAAGATTCAACATATAAACATGAAATATATTTCATTTATCTACCAGGCAGTAAATAAAGTCATTAAAATGAGCTCCACCTTTATCATATTAATGCATCAATAATTATAATACAATCATAAATATTATTTTGCATTATTAGTACTTTTACTTTCCGTATTTTAAGTTTATTTTGATTCTAATACTTTTACTTAAAATATGATTCTAAATGCAGTACTTTTACCTGTAACAACGTACTTCTACACTGTAGTATTAGTACTTTTACTGAAGTAGAAGTTGAGAAAACATAATTGTTTTTGTAATACTTAAATCTCTTAATTATTACTATCTGATGTTTTAATCTCTTCACTTTTTATTCACTGAATCTGACAAGAAAAAATACTTTAACATTTATAAAATGTCAAGCATTTTTTGCATAAAATTATTAATAATAATAATATAGAATAATAATAATAATACTAAAGCACTTAGAGACAGAATCAATCATCATAAATCAATGACATATAAACTTTATTACAAAACAAACAACATAGTGTAGAGATGCTGTGGTTCTTTCCTTTAGTGGTTTTCTCTATTTATTTACTCTCTGGATCCTTCAGTGTTCATATTAATAATATTTATAATAATAAGTACATGGGGAGATTTATTTATATAATGTGTGTTTTTGGAAAGAACTCTCTCTTGTTTATTCATACGAGTAGATAATAGAGAAGATAATCACAGTATTAAAGAATATAACACAACGGAGACCAGCTCCCACAACATGAAACATGTTCATACAACTAAACAGTTTGTATCTCTGCCAGCAGAACTGTGACTGAACTCCTCAGAGGTGACATCACCTGTTGATCACCTGTTAGCATGATCCTTCCTGTTCCTATTTTCTGTTAGCATGATCCTTCCTGTTCCTATTACCTGTTAGCATGATCCTTCCTGTTCCTATTACCTGTTAGCATGATCCTTCCTGTTCCTATCACCTGTTAGCATGATCCTTCCTGTTCCTATTACCTGTTAGCATGATCCTTCCTGTTCCTATTACCTGTTAGCATGATCCTTCCTGTTCCTATCACCTGCTAGCATTATCCTTCCTGTTCCTATCACCTGTTAGCATGATCCTTCCTGTTCCTATTACCTGTTAGCATGATCCTTCCTGTTCCTATCACCTGTTAGCATGATCCTTCCTGTTCATATTACCTGTTAGCATTAGCCTTCCTGTTCCTATTAGCTGTTAGCATTAGCCTTCCTGTTCCTATTACCTGTTAGCATTAGCCTTCCTGTTCCTATTACCTGTTAGCATTAGCCTTCCTGTTCCCATCACCCGTTGATAACCTGTTAGCATGATCCTTACTGTTCCCATCACCTGTTCGCATTAGCCTTCCTGTTACCTGTTAGCATTAGCCTTCCTATTCCCATCATCTGTTGATCACCTGTTAGCATTAGCCTTCCTGTTCCCATCACCTGTTAGCATGATCCTTCCTGTTCCTATTACATGTTAGCATTAGCCTTCATCTTCCCAGCCTTCCTGTTGTTGATTAAGGACATTTTTAGCCACGTATCAGTCTCTTCACTATCAGCTGCTGCAGTTACAGTAACAGCTGGTGTTAAAACAACAGATCACAGTGTAAACGCAGCCAGTAGCAGGAGGATGGAGAGCTCATAGCGTGGGAAGGTCCACCACTCACACCGCAGAGCTAGTGTGAAGCAGGGAATCATGGGAAACCTCCGAGCCACCTGTCTTTGAGTCTGGCTGGGGAGTCTGGAGGGGGGGAGGGGAGGAAGACTGAGAGGGACTCTGGTTATTATCTGGTGTCTCTGAGTCCTTTTCTCTGTCTCCGTCTCGCATCGGTTCCTCCTCTTCCTCCTCCTCCTCCTGTTCCTGCTGCAGCACATTGAAGCGCTCCACCACGCAGTGAGCCGTCAGTCGGGCCTCAGGGTCGTGATCCCAGCACTCAGTGACGGTGGAGCAGAAGACCCCCATCCCCTGGAGGAGAGAGGATGGCAAGTCAGACAGCAGGACATCACAAACAAACATTGTCCTTTCAGAGTCTGAACTCTGACCTGGTGCTGCGTCCATGCTGACGGGATGTGCGGCCGTCCTCGGTCCCTCAGCACCAGGTCTCTCATGCTGTCCACACAAGGCTGCTCACACACCTGAGAGCCAAACGCCGGCTCGTAGCTCTTCACTTCTGCACCGACACACACAGATACTCACACATTACGGTCACAGGATGTGTTTCAACATTCAAGGATAACCTGCTCACTACCTGCTCAGGTACTCTGTTCAGTATCAGTAAATTGTAAATTCAGGACAGTCCCGAATCCTGTTGTGTTTGCCCCAAAAGTCTTACTTAACCCAACTGTACCTGAACAGGTAGAGAACAGAGTACATGAACAGGTAGAGAACAGAGTACCTGAACAGGTAGAGTACAGAGTACCTGAATAGGTAGAGAACACAGTACCTACCTCCGATGGCATGGCAGCGGGAGGCCATCTCCCAGTGGACCAGAGCCATGGAGTAAACATCCATCTGTTTAAAGGCCTCAAGGTCCTCCAGGTTCACTCTGGACTCAAGTACCTCAGGAGCCATGTAGCGAGCTGTCCCCACCTGGATGATATCGGAAAGTCCATTCAAATGACGACCAAAGCAATAGAGTTCTGCTTCATGACATATTCAAACACTGCTTAACAACTAAACTTGTAGTTTACCTGTCCACTGTTGGCATAGTCATCGACGGTGAGGGAGAGGTCCAGTCTCAAGGCTAGACCAAAGTCACACAGGGCGCATTCCTTCCTGCTCTTTACCACAATGTTACTGCTCTTCAGGTCCCGATGGGCCACCGGCACCTACAGCAACACAAACAAAACAGCAGCCCAGCGGCAACTTCTTCATGTCTGCTTCATGTGTTAAAGCTGCATTCTCTCTAGTGTCCACCAGGGGGCGACTCCTCTGGTTGTATAGAAGTCTATGAGAAAATGACTCTACTTCTCTCTGTCTGTAGATGGCGGCCTACTTTGGACACTAGGTGGCTGCTACAGATGTTAACAGTGACGGGTAAGACTTGATATATTACCTCAGTAAACATTGTAAACATGAGTTTATGGTCTCAATCTCTAGTTTCAAGTCTTCAATACAGCATGATGTTCATTTAGTACATTATGGTCCATTTAGAGTCAAACAGACCATAAAGCAGGGGATGCTTTAGGGCGGGGCTACACAGTGATTGACAGGTCTCTACCAGAGACGTATACGGCGTCACTACGTGACTCCTCCTCAGTCCAGATATGGTCACTTCCTGTTTACTGGTTGCAAAAAAAAATGCAAGATGGCGACGGCCTTGAGGCTTTTAAACATCAGTCCACAAACCAATGAGAGACGTCAGGACGACTACGTCCACTTCTTATAAACAGTCTGTGGCAGCAGGTTTGCACATTTTCTTTTTTGTCCTGAGTTTCACCTCTCGAGCAACGTAAGGCTGATATACCTTGTTGGTAAATTATGTTGCAGCTAGCAAATATGTCACAAAGACGTGGGCAGATCTATATTGATGTTAGTTTAGTTTAGTTAACGTGAAGAGATCATATGGAAGGTAACTCACCTTTGGTATCCCACTGGGTGTCGTGTCGCTATGCAAATGAGCTAACCCTCTGGCAATGCTGGTAGCCATGGCAACAAGCTCCTCCCAGCTCAGTGTGTTCGCTGTGAGGAAGTCCTGCAGGTTCCCGAGGCTGTGATAGGCCAAAACCAGCCAGTACTTTCTGAGGGCGTGGCCGGGCAGGCCCCTCCCTTCGGCGGCGAGGAATCGAACCACGTTGTCGTGTTCCAGCTTGGGGTCAGAAAAGATGGAGCACTCGTTTCTCCACGAGGCGTACTCCACCGCTGGAAACACCTTCACCGCCACCGTTTCGTAGCTGTTAACTCCGCCCTTCTTGCCCTGCAGCAGGCACGCCCTCCACACTTCAGCAAAGCGCCCCTTCCCCACCAGCACCTCCAGCTTGATCGGCAGTGGTTCATTCAGCCGGCAATGCCAGTCTGTCATGTCACTGATGATGTCATCGTCGAGAGACAGCACCTTGCCATTAGATTCCGCCCTCTCGGCTCCAGGACCAATCAAACCACCTCCTCCTCCGCCCTCTCCCCGAGCCCCCAGACCCCCACAGTGCAGGTCGAATGCCTGGTAGCGCTCTGGGCTGTGTTTGGTGGGCCAGGCCGGGCGAGCAGGAGGACCCGGTTTGTCTGGATGGTGAGTCCGGTAGAAGTAGAAGGCTGCCGTGGCAACTATGGCAACAAGGATAGGAGGCACCAAACTAACCACGACCACCGGGATCACGTCTTTACTCTGCAGCTTAGAGAACCCTGCAGGAGCAGAGATGAGACCATATCTACATGAAAAATATACTCATCCTTTTATCCATCCATCCAGCCCTCCATCCATCCCTCCATCCATCCATCCATCCATCCCTCCCTCCCTCCATCCATCCATCCATCCATCTGTCCATCCATCCATCCCTCCTTCCATCCATCCCCCC